GGGGGGGGGCGCAGCGCCAGCCGGGGACGGACGCTGCTCCCTCAGGTAAACAGAGCGAGCGAGAATCGCCGGCGCGCGCCTCGGAGCGACCGCGAGCTTTCGCGAGCGCCGGGGCGCGCGGTCCGGGGAACGCGCGAGCGCTCGCACATGCACGTAAGGCGCAGGCGCACTGTGCACGCTCGCTCGCGCGCTCCCATTTTGAGCCTGACTGCGCGTTGCCGGCTCAGCGCGCTTTGTTGGTGACTGCGTTGTGCTCTCTGGGTGATGCTTTCTACTGTCCTGCCCCGGTGGCGCCTGGAAGCGTTTTTCTTAATGCGCTCAGCCCTCTTTGCAAAGCTCTCCCTCCCTGCCCTGCTGAGACAGCGCGGCAACTCGCACCACCAGAGCCTGTGATGCTGTTATTTCAAGACCGCCGGAACCTGTTCTGAGAACTACTGTGCCGGCCTCGGGACCCGGGGATTGGAGGTGGTCAAGAGGCGGGTCACCGACTGCTGAGGGTGGCACTGGGTGCTGGTAGAGGGAGGCAGCTGGCCTGTTGGCAGAGCTCCGTGCTGAAACAACAGACCAGACAGGATACTTGCCCAAGAACAGTTTATATCCTCTTTGCCAAGACCTTAGAGAACAGGTGGAGCTTGTGGTTACTGGTGGCATTCCCCATCTTTTGCTCCTTAGAAATGTTTCCCCTTTCTCTACATGAAAAATTTTAGGGCTAAAAGAGTTCTCCGAGATCATCTAAACCGAACCTCTCATTTTTCAGACGACGAAAAAGAACGCCCAGAAAGATTAAATGACTTCCCCAAAGCCCCACAGCGTTTTAATGACAGATTCATTCAAAGCCAAAGCTATTCTTTTTCACTACACTGTTTTACCTACCTTTCTTTCTCTCTTCCTTTTTGTCCCTCTTCAGCCTAGACGTCACGGGCATCATTTTGTTCTGTTAGCACACAGGACTTACAGTAATATTGATCCTGTTGCACAACAGTGTGAATGTACTTAACACTACCCAACTCTACAATTAAAAAATGGTTAAGATGTTAAATTTTATGTTAACGTGTATTTTACCAAAATTTTTCAAAATGTGCTCAATAAATGTTAAATACGTAAATAAATATTGAGTATTGAGCTTGGACAGCCATAAATATAGTTTAACATCAGAAGGTGAGCTATGGGGAAAAGCATAATTAATGAGATTTGAAGTGACATTTTCAATTTTCTTAATAAATAAATATTTGTGTAGTAACAGCTTTTTAAAAAGCTTAATATTGATCCTTAGGCTGATTCTAAGCATGTCAGTGTGTCCTGTGGAGCCAACACTGCCTCCACTGAGAGTGAGTGAGGAGGCATGTAGCGTATGTGAAAATCTGTGTGCCTGCTTTATGTATTTTCAGATCCCTTGTACCGGCGGAACCTCTGGAGAGGTGCAGCTAGATGTATGTTTGTGCAATTTACACACCGTCCTGTGAAAACTGTCAGGCATAGGACATATCATAGCTCACATGGTGAGGTAGGGATGGTGTAGAAATTATCAGCGAATGTATCAACATGATCAAATCTCAGGAATATAACATTGAGTGAAAAAAAGCAAACTACAAGATATGTAAATTATGATACCTCTTTAAAAACAACTAGCCATATTGTTTATGAGGTCAAAAACATGTATATATCAAAAGCATAAAAAATGGTTGAGTAGGCTACACACCAATTTCACGACAGTGGTTGCCTCTAGGCAGGCAGGGAGGGGAATGAGATCCGGGAAGTGGACAAAAGGGTCTTCAATTGCTAATTGCACACATGAAGCAAAAATGTTAATATTTTTAAAAATTTCAGTGGGGATACAGGGTGTTTCTAATGCAAGTCTCTCAAGTTTTCTTTATGTTTGAAATGTTTCATTTAAAAGTAATGTTGAAGTATGTCAGACATTGAGTTGGTGTGCTCATTATGAACACAGCGTGAATGTGTTATTCAGACTCCGGGTGGAGGTGGGGATCAGCAGTCAGAGTGATGAGATGTCAGACATCAGACAAGCAGAGGCCCAGAGCGTTCTGGTTGAGAGGCTGGACGAAAGTGACCTTGTTTTCGTCGATAAAAATATTCAGATCCGGGGCGGCCAATGGCTCAAGCAGTTAAGTGCGCGCGCTCCGCTTCAGTGGCCTGGGGTTCACGGGTTCGGATCTTGGGCGTGCACCAACACCCAGCTTGTCAAGCCATGCTATAGCGGCGTCCCTATAAAGTAGAGGAAGATGGGCACAGATGTTAGCTCAGGGCTGATCTTCCTCACACACAAAAAAATTCAAATCCAACAGAGATAGAGTGCAAAGCTTTCTTTTATCCCATCTGTCTTTCATTCCATGTTGTAACCACCAATAGAAAGTCTTTAACGAGCGGGAACTTCACAGAGACACAGCACTCTCACAGCACGTTGTTAAAACTGGTCTCTTTCTGGATGAACCCGTTTTGAAACATAAATGTTAACTGGTAATACATGGTAATTTAGTATTGCATCTACATACCTCCCCCAGGCCACGCCCCCCCCATAGGCTTTGTTTATTCGTTTCCATACAACTCGGTCATGTGGAAAATCACTAGGCTGAAATGCAGACAACCTGGCTTCTAATTTCAGTTTGACCACTTACAGATCCTTTGGTAACTCAAAGAAAGCAGCAATCTCTATGAGCTTCACTTTTCTTTTTCAATTGCAGATAGACAAATGCTGCCTATTTCAGAACTGAAACACAGTACTAACATAGGGTTTACATTTGTTTAAGTTGGAGGAGAGGATGTTCTTATCTATTTTAAGAAACATAAAATAGTGAGGAAAGTCTTTTTTGTTGTCTTTGCTATAGAACTGCCTTACATTTACCAAAGAAGCTCCATATGGAATTTTGAATTTTTTGGTGATTCTCCAGCACTTGTTTACAATTCTATCACAGCAGTTATCACTGTGGGCCTTACATTAGTTATTTACACATTGCATTTTCCAGTCATCCTCGTCAGACTTCTTTTTTATCCTTGTATTCTCACTCAACCCCTTATTACACGGTGGGTGCCATGTAATGGCTTCGATAAATTTAATTAATTAAATTAGACTGGATTGTAAAATTTCCCAAATTTGGAGTTATTCTTAAAGGCATGCCATCTGCTGGTTCCATAGTGTATCTGTCAGTCAGCCTGAATCCTTTAATCCAATAAATTAAAATTCACGCTGAAGCATTTGTGAGTTTGTGTATTGGGCAATTTTCCCACGTCTTTCTACTTCCTGTTGCAGGTGCTCTTCCTTCATTGAGCCAGTCACGAATTGTTTTTCCTCCAACCCTCTTTTACCTGTTGGCCACTCTTAAAACCTGGAAAAGTGGAGCTAACATTTTGGAGCCCCGGAATGACCAGAGCAATATAACTGGGCATGCTCAATAGGTTGGCCTGATTTGGAACACAAACGTCTTGAATGAGGGCTTTCAAAGCTGCTTGTCTCGAGATTGGATGCATCTTCCTCCTAGCATTGTATTGGGAGTTTGCAGCCCCTCCCACCCTCTTGGCGCTCACACTTTTTCATTTTATCCGTGTGCCCAATTTTGGAGCCAGCCCTCCTGGATCTCCTGGCCAATCAAGAGACCACACATTGTTGCCTAAGAGACCCCGGATGCCAGCGAAAGGATTTATAGATGGTGATTGGACTACTGGAAGCTAGGAGAGGTGGGGGCTGGACAGAGTCAAAGAGAAGCAACTATGGCAACACCAGCGATTGAGGCTTGAAGAGGGAGACGAGCTAAAAAAGGTGAGGGCGGTGCGTAGTGCATGCAAAAGATGGAGACTCTTTTTTGAGAGCTCCGCTGTCAGATCCTCTTGGGCCTCTCGCAAGCCTTGTCAGTGTTCCTGGGGATTACATTTTGCTCCATTTCAGCTGCAGTTCAAGTGCCAGATGCTTTATACTTATAAGATTAACAACCAACAAATAATTTATTTCTATGCCTATCACGCACTAGCTCTTTGTATTGTATTATAGTTTTTGCTTTTTTTCTAACTGGTTGACTGTAAGATGAATTCGTGTTTAAATCTAACCATGCCCTATTTCCTGATAATTTCCTGATAATTTCTGAAATTCCCTTTTCTAATGATACTGCTGTGTACAATAAGTGAGCTGTATATTAGCAGAGAAACTCAATCCTATTCTGCTGTGTAAACTCCAAATAAAAATCTGATAACCTGAGTATAATTCTAGTGCTCGATTCATAGTGATCTGAGTTTTACCCTACAATTCTGCTGGTTTTAATCCTTAAACTGCCTCCCTCCACTGTTGCATTCATTCATTCAGTTGATTTAACAAATATTTATTGAGCACTTATTGTGTGCTATGAGATTGGGATTCAGATGAGCAGCATCAGAAAACCACATAAGCACAGAAGCATCAAAGTTTTGTACCATTTTCTCTGAGTGATCAGAAGTTCGTTGTATCTGGGCAGATAGTGCATGAAGGGAGAGGTGGATGAGGCTAAAAAGATAGATTGAGGTAATTTCATAGTGGATCTAGACTTGCGTACTAAAGAGTCTAGAAATTCTGTAGCCGTTAGTGAGCCTCTGAAGGTGTTTGAGCTGAAAAGTAACATCATCAAGTGGTATTTTAAAAAATACCTCCCTAAGTAGAATGGTGGTTACCAGAGACTGGGGGGTGGGGGAAAAGGGGAGATATTGATCAAAGTGTACAAACTTTTAGTTATAAGATGAATAAGTTCTGGAGACCTAATGTACAGCATAGTGACTATAGTTAGCAATAATATATTGTACACTTGAAATTTGCTGAGAGTAGATCTCAAGCGTTCTCAACACTTGCATAAAAACGGTAACTGGGAGGTGATGGATGTGTTAAATATTTTGTGGTAATCATTTCACAATGTATACATATATCAAAAAACACTTTGTACACCTTAAATATGTACACTTTATTTGTCAAAAAGAAAAAAACCAACTTTCTAACAGTAGACTGTAAGTCCCATTAAAGCAGAGACTCTTTGTACCCCTAACACAGGCCTAATAGGTCCTTAGTAAATTTGAATAATGATGACAATGTAAAGAATGGCTTGGAAGATGAGATTGTAAGTGGTGGCCTTCCACTAGGAGGTGGAACTTTACCAGAGGACCCATCCTTGCTGTTCAATATGGAACTAGAACTGTACATTGGGGGCTAGGACCATAGGTCTTCTTTCTTCCTTTTTATCCAAAGAAAAAGATGAACTTTCAAGGACAGCCATTAAGGGGAAAAGAGGTCACAAAAAAGCAACAGCAAGTTTTATATGTGGAAGGAGGGGAAGACAACTTGCTTTGTCTTGTTGCCGGAGTGGGAGCAATTATTTTTTGTGTATGTTATATAAAACTGTTTGTCTTTGTAATAGTCCTGAGTAGTCTACTGTGAACGTGTGTGTGTATGCAGATATGCATACTGCCCATCTTCTGGAATGAAAGGAGGAGGAAAAAACTGAAAAAGGGTAATGACAAAAGATAGGGCAGGACACCTCCGTTTGCATGTTTCATTAGGACTGTATTACTGAGAGGGCTGTTTCTCCTGGCCAGGCCCATCTCCTGAAAACCAGACTTTCCTCAAGTTGATTTGAAGAAAGCCTAATTCAAATAATTTCTAGCTCTGAGAAACCAGGAAAAAGAAAACATCCAGTGCAGGACCTTGGAGAGACCCTAGAAAAGCTACTTTGTCCAATTCAAAAATTGTGCCTAGCTTGTTTCTTACACCAAATGGGAAGAGAGAGAGAGAGAGTTTCTCAGCTTATAGCAGGAGTTTTTAACCTGGGGTAAGCAAAATTTTATGTTCATGTACATTTTTCTAGGGAGAAGATTCATAGCTTTCATCATATTCTCAAAGAGTTTTATGGCCCTCAAAAAAAAAAAAGATTAAAAACGACTAGTTTAAAGAGAAGAAAGGTCAATGTAAATAAATAACAACAACAAAAAGCAATACGTAATTTTTAACTGGGCAGATCTAGACTCAGTGACCATGCTTTATAGCTATAATTTGCCTCTCACAAGTACTTTCATAACTGCCAATTAATAATACTGTAATGAAATCATTTCTTATGCCTTTTGCAGCTTAGCTAAACATGTGTGACTCAAATAATTAGCTGTTAGGGGCTGAGAAGAATGTGAGGGCGGATCTGAGCCCCCTTTATTCCAGTGGTAGGCTGGCAGCAGGCAACTGCAAGAGGTATTGTCTAATGATGCCCCTGAGGTTTTAAAACATTGGCTTTATCTTCAGCTATGACTTAAACCTGAGAGAGAATATTACATGCCAAGTGAGACCTCCAAGATTTCAGATCTAGCATTTGAGGGAATCCCATATCAGCCCAAAACTAATGACTTTTTAAAAATTGTCCAATATTTGCTACTGGAGAGCAATTTTTGGAGGCCATAGATGGGAAAGGCAAGCCCTGGAACGCTCAGTCATCACCACTGCCTTCCAATATGAAATTCACCTTCAGAGAGGAAGGAAGGCAGAGCAAGGAGATACGCTGAGGATACATATTGAAACTACCATCATTCTGCTTTAAATGTTTTCCACCTTAAAATATTTTGTCATGGCCCTCTAAAGGACAGGTTTTGAGGCACTCTGTAATGATAGGACGTTCTAAGAAAAGCTGCATGAAAGTTACTACTTGTTGAGGCCACGTATCTGTCAGGTGCTCAGGACCCTTTTTTTCTGATCTTAGTAGCAGCAGTTGAGGGTAGATATATACATCCTTATTTTTCAAATGACGAAACTGAAGCTCAGGTAGATTAAATAACTTGCAAAAAGATATACAGCTAGTAAGTTTTAGAGCCAGGGTCAAACCTTAATAAGGTAAAAAATTTTGCTTGTAAACAACAGAAGTAGATTCTAGCTAATGTAAGCAAAAGAGGAAATTTATTGCAAGGATATGAGGTGGCTCACAAAATAGACAAGAAAGGACGAGGGGTTTCTGAGGGATGTGGCAGCAGGAACAACTGAACAGAGCACCAGTGCTACTTTGAATGACCACCTCAGCTATAAAGTAAGGTTAAGCCAGCATCAGTCCAACTGGCCTAGCTTGGTTTGACCACCTCTTGACCAGGAAGGGGGAGGCCACCTTGATTAACCAACTCAGCAGACACCAAACAATGAGGGAAAAGTAATTCCTCGTAGAAATTAGATCAAATGAAGACAGACGTATACTGGACATCTAAAAACAGCACATTTGGGGCCGGCTCCGTGGCTTGGCGGTTGGGTGTGCGCGCTCTGATGCTGGCGGCCCGGGTTCGGATCCCGGGAGCGCCCCGAGGCACCACTTCTCCG